GAAAAAAAAAATTGAATTGAGCAAGATATCGAAGATGGGATTTTCAGCCCCTAAAATTATATTAACATACTCTAGGCATCTAGGGAAACTGCTCCTTTCTCAGAGAGCTTTAACTTTCATTAATTATTGACACTGTACAAAGGACTCCAATATCTTTTTTCTTCTTTTTCATGGTTCTGCTCCTTCTCATACAAATGGTAGAAGCTCCTTTCCCTGAGGATACAGGAGCTTGGAAATGGAAAACTTGGGCTTCACATAATAAAATCTGTGCTTTGGCGTCTTCATTCTTTCAGTTTGCCTTCATTCTTGAGAAGGTTCTTACTAACTTAGAGCTTTGCAAAGAACAAGAACAAGCAATTTAATGTTAACTGGGATGTACTGTTTATAGTATAGGTCTGAAGAAGTTCAACTCAATGACACCCAAATGTGTAATAGCAGCCAATCAGTTATTCAAATGCTTCAAGGAAGTCAGACTCAAACTTCTGTAGGACACAGATTTCCTGGCACCTCCAGTTCCAGGCTTACATATGAGCTAGTGTTTTCAAAACCCTGGTCTCATGTCAGCTATTTAACAAGTGAATTTTGCTAATATGCAAAGATTTATTTGCCCCAATTTGCTTGGAATTAATATATTTGACATGAAACTGGTCTCAAGACTAGGTGTCAAAATTAATTTAAGATCACATTATAGTAAATTCAGTGACAAAAAAGTGCTATTTATAAAGGTATGAGTGAAGGACAATTTAAGAGAAATTAAATGGAGTTAAAAGGTAATGGCTGAAAAACGATGTTGATTTTATCCTGTCACCTGAACTACTCTGGCAGCATTAATGCACACTTTGTATTTAAATACCATGGAGACTGATCTTACAGCTGGTTTAAAGGCTCTTTAACAGAAAGCCTTTAACAGAAAGGCTCTTGACTTGAAACAGCAGAATGCTGATTTTGACTGCTCTAATGCCTCCTCCAAATCATTCCAATGTGCCCTACCTGCATCATGATACACTCAGATATTTAGGTGATGGTTCCCTTCATGTGAATTCTCAGGGAATGTTTTGGTTGTAATTAGTTCAAGGCTTTCTGAAATTAAGTTATTAAAAACTGTCCAGATAATAGGAGATTCTGTAGCAGGGACTGTCTTTTTAGGCAAAAGACGTCAGCACTGGAAATAATTTACATCTGTAGATGCTACAAAGCAGCTTTGACCAATAATCTCTTTCACTGAACACCTATAATTCTCTGTAACATTCATGAGAACATGAATATGTCTGTAGCTTTACATCTTTTGGGATGAATAAAACAGTTTTCTCTGATGAAACTTAAAACCCATGCAGTATTTAATGAAAAGCAGCTGAAACGCCAGATTTCCCTGACACTGTTAAAACATAATCTATTCAACCACGGTTTATCAGCTGTGAAGATTATCAGAATAATACAGCACAAACATGCTCATCAGGAATAGAAAGCCAATTTACAGTGAGGAGGTGAACAGGGCTCAGGAACTTGGTCACAGTATGGAGAGGCTGCATGGGGCCAGACAAAGGTGTCTGGTTTAGGATGAGGATGAGGAAGATGAGAAGATACAAACAGTTGGAGAGGAGACTCTGTTCTTGAGAGAGAAGATGAGGAAGTATCAGAGGCTAAAAAGCGAAACAAAGAGAATGGTAAGGGGGTGTGGAGGGGGACAGGAAAGAAAAAAGATCCAACAGGGTTTAACGGACTCGTGGATGCCAAGACCGCAAAGCATTTGTTTCACTGCTGGGTAAGATCAAAATGGCTCCTACATAAAATAAACATCACTTCTGAAAGCAGCAACAACAAAAATGAACCTTTACTTATATGTACTCTCCTTTCATACTAAATTAGTTTTAAAAAGCAAATAAAATATTTTTTCCTTATGTTCCAATGCATAAATTTAAAAAAATATATTTATGGGGGAAAAAAGGCCAAAATCTAAAACTCACATAATATTGTTTCTTCCTATGATAAACTAGGTGGACTGCAACCAAACTGAACACAAAGGATTTAAAAAGATTGATTGCAATTTGTTTTAAGCAAATAGCCAATCAGTCTGCAGAGATTTACATATTTTTGTCTGTCTTTGAATATGAAATGTGTCTGTGTCCCTGTGAGATTGATTGATTCATCAAAGCTCCTTTTTTTCCCCCCTCTACATTTATTTCCTTCATTGATATATACAAATATAACTGCATGCCACTCATGGCAAGCCAACTGAAACTGACAAGCTTAAAGCAAATTTGACATAGTTATTGATCAGGACATTAGCACTGTAAGAAATCCACAATACATTCTTTTGATATTTTAAAGGCTACACAAATTTAAACTTGAATCACTTAATCACTACAGGATTGGTAAATGCTCCAAATAAAGCAAGTTTTCAATCCTTTTTTTTTAAAGGCCAGCTTCTGCTTCATTGATAAATTTAAAAAGAAGAAGAATTTACCCCCATTGCACCTGGATTTTTTTTTTTAAGGATTTTACATGAACTTCAAATTTTAATTTTAGCTCTCATTTCTTGATACTTAGAAGACTGAATTCTTCTCCTCAGGCAAAGGAGATCATCATCATCATCATAGATGGAAAGCAAAGTTACGAAGGGGAAAATTTCCAAATGTTTACATGTATCCAGACATACAAATGTATTCACAAAGTAGCATTACATGAGGAGGGGATGAAATATTTCCATCCTGAGAGGATTCAAAGCCAGAACTTTTTTTGCATTTTAACATTTGTTTAATTATTTGCCAAATTCCTTCTGCATTTCTAAACACTGTGGATGCACAGATTTTGCAGGTGAGCCCTTTCAGCCCTACAAAGGTCTAATATCTTGACCATCCATTGTTTCTATCATTTATCTGTTGTGAATAATATTTTATTGACAGTCTGCTTAAGCCTTCTCAAACACTATGACAAGCTTGACTGTTTTTATTCTTGTAGTACCATAATACTTTAACTCCTGCAAAAGGTTTATATAACATTCTGACGAAGAATTCTGGACAAATACTGGATGTAAAGCTTTTTTATATATATAATTACACAGATTCAGTAGATAACAAAGTTCTAGTCCTTGCCAGAAATTGAGGACTGGTAGTGCAACAAGGTTTCTTTGGCTAAAATTAACAATTAACAAGCCCCACTAACAACCAAAATCAACTCTAACTCTCCTTAAAAAACACCCTAAAACATACGGGACAGCTACCCACTGATCCTCCACAACTACCTTTTATAATATAAATAATCAAAACCAGATCCCATATTTTTAATTTTCCACCTTGTTCTCCTTGACAATAAAGTTCTAACAATAAAGCTGAGATTCAGAAAAAAATCAATTTGGACCTGCTAGAAAAATCAGAATGTATACAGAGATCCTATTTGGATCAGGATATTGGCTGCAGGATTTGCATTTGGGGCGAACTTCTTGAAAAGTTCACTGTTTTGAATGAGGGTTCATCTTTACTTAAAAGCATTGAGGACTATGCAATCTTTAAAGTGCACCAATTTACTGTGCTCTCAAGTATGGCAGGCATACAATGGGACACCCTGAAGGTATAAATCAAGAGCTATATGTCCTCACTGGAAAAGAAACAAACAAAAACCATCACTAACCACAAAAAACCTTTCACAACACCCATCTCCAACAAGCACTTTTTTGAAGGCATAAAACTATATCTATAGTTATGTCTATCTATATATATGAAACCCATAAAACATAGTTATGCTCTTAAAAATGAAACAGTCAGCTAGACTGGAATATAGAATGATCACCACAGCATGATACAATGTTCTCTTACCCCTTTTAATTATACAAATACAAGAAGACAGAGGATTCCATGTTCATTACTCCATATCATATTGCTGGTCTTGAAATCAAGTGACCTTATCTTTGCAATCAAAACTGCTTGCACTATAGCAAGCAAAGAACACTACCTTATATTCAAATTGAACATTCAATCAAATTTTAATTTTTAGAAGTTAAATAACTAAATTGGATTTTTCTCTACTGCACTATTGTGATATTAGACATACAGTACCCATTTCAATGTGTCTTAATTTATGGGTCAAGTGTACTCAAATTCATAGGTTGGCACGCTTTCCCAGAAGGTGTTTGTGTTAAATAGTGATTGAGCAGAAATATCCCCCTGGAAGGTCCCATGGAAAGCATTCTTGTTGTTTTAAAACCCAGAAAAAAGAAAATTCAATATTTGGAACACAAGTGAGATATGGCAAAAGTTTTGAAATTAGCAGCATCATGATAATTCCTTCTGCAATCTCCTCAGAATCGTGTACTTTTGATTGCCTAATTTCTAAGGAATATTTGTTTGCACTGGGATAACTGAATATATTAATACAGGCAAATTATATATTGTCAGTATTTACTGACATGTAACAATATTAGTTTTTATGTGTCATATCTGTGCACCACAATTTTTTATAGGTATGCAAAAATACCACAGTATGTTTGATTTATGACAATTTTGCTTATACATTTTGCTTATAATGTTAAAGTAAGTCCACAGTAAGCCTAGCCACCCATGTAATTATATTTCAACATATATTTGAGATTTTAATTAATAAAAACAATGTTTTTTATTCTTTTGAGATTCAAAGTTCTTTGAATTTTTTTAAAAGTTATCTTTTAAGCAAAAATGCTCAAATATTGAATGAACGAAAATCACAGGACTTTAGCATGTAGGCTAGTTCAGCATACTAATTTTTAGTCCTTGCATAAGGAAATAGTACTAAACTCAGCAAGATCCATAACATAGATATTTTAATTTACAGAGAACATGGTCAGCAAGTACTTTATAAATTAAAAACAAGAAAAAGAAAACTTATATCACACAATGTCTACTTTCACTTATATGACAATAATGAAAATATAACTTCATTTTGCAAAAACAAAAAAAAAAAAAACTGATGGAAAATCTAGCTAGGGGCAGATCACTTAACCTATTTTACTGTTCATATGCATTTCTTACCTGTATCAGGATCACTGAAATCTGGGAATGTAATTGTATTGAGCTGTCGTCTGTCAGCAATAGCTCTGTCTAACAAGCTGCTCCCACGTCCAGAATCACTGTAATGAAGTACAGAAATTGTAAGCTATCAAAATACAAAATTATATACTGATATACAAGTTGCATGCTGCCCTACTCCCACAAAGATTCTTGCTATAAAAGTTACTGCTATGACCAAATTTAGTACCAAGCACCACTAACCACTCACAGAGCATTAAGCCAGTTGCATTAAAACAGAATTAAGCTGAGCAAAATTAAATCTTTATTTACTTCAGCAATTCTGTTTTCATAACTAATACAACCAAAAAGGGAATAGTGGCTTTTAATTTAATTCACAACTAACACCTGTACAGAAAGAATCCATTGTGCCTTGAATATTATATGGGGTACAGGTTTCACAGAAAGCTGAGAAGGCAGATATAAGTTTGAAAATCCACAGTTTCTCTGGAATGAATAGAAAGGCTAAAGCCAGGACATCCAATTTTAGGTAAAGATGTTATAAAGGGCTGGTTTAGTTTTGTGTTTTCAGTTTGTTTTTTATGTATATATGCACATATCCATATTAACTGCCTAATGTTCAAATTGACTCTAACAGCATAGCAGAACCATTTTGAACACTTCTAACATCTCAGGAGCAAAGCAGTAGCTGTGATTTTTACTGACTGCACCTGTGGGCAAATGTACTGCACTTCTACTTTAACAGTATATTTGTATGTGCCCCTCAGGCTCCTTGTAGATATGCCTTCTGGAAAACTAACTGCTCCTAGAACTACTATTAAAAATTCAGCACAAGAACTGGGACTGAAGAACTAAGTGTTTTTCCTCCTTCAGATGAGGCAAGCATTGAGACACATTGTCAGTAAAGTGTAAGGAAGCACATATGGGCATTCCTTCTTTAACATTCTATGGTTAATACAGTAATTTCATTTTTAGGATTGCTAAGTCTGGTACTATTCATTATCGATAAATATTTTCTTTAAAACCTCATAAAAAAAACAAACCACCCACAAACTTAAAAGTAATTAAGCTTTAAAGCAGTTAAACTGCTAACCCAACTTAGCAGAGTGCAATCTTTTGTCTGATTCTTCTGAAGAAAAAGAACTGTACGAAATTCCTAATTTAAAGTAAAGCCTGAGAAACTTCAATCTAAACTGCAAGCCTGGAATTCAAAACATCTCTCCATTTGCCTTAATTTTACAACTGCATCCTTCTGAATTTGGATTGAATTAATGGCAAGAAGTCTCCCAACAGTTCTTAATAGTTGCAAAAGTCAGTGAAACATCATTCCCTCCCTCTTTTTAGAGCTGTTACTAAAACGGTAGACTTAAAATTTTGCATTAGCATGACATTATTGCATTATTTCCTTACAAATGACATCATTGTAGAAATCCAAGGAAACAGAGGGGAACTTTCTGGGCCATACACTATCAGCTATAGTTGTTACATCACTTGGTGTAAATTTTCAGAGGTAATCACTTCCTCAATCCACATGCAACCCCATGCCAAATGTTGCTGACAAGTAGAGTCAGACCTACAGTCAATATATTCTAAGCACAGCACTGGCACTGCAGTGTGGTTTGTTCCTTTTTCAAATGCAAACCATGAAGTGGAAAAAAATTCAACTATTTTCTAATGCATTTTAAGCAGTAGACTAAAGGCAAACCCTTAAATCTTCCAAGCCTTGCACCACAAAATAATTTTAAAATTCATATTAACCATCTTATGAGAAAAAAGTTTGTATTTCAATTAAAGACAAAAGTTCTATATTGACTGAATAAAGGTAATTCACAGTATTGCATTTGGCCCTTTTTAAGGTATGTCTAGGTATTTGTGATTTATTTTTATTATTAAAATATTATTGGGGACTCTAAACGCATATTCCCACTAAATCTGATTCACTGCAGAAGAAATATTTAATATAAACCACAGCTTATCAATAAAGTAAATTCTTATCTTATTGGGAAAAAGACACACCAAATTAATCTTCAGTCTAAATCATAATAGAAAAAGATATCTCAAGTAAGCATAAAAGATACTTATATCTTTGAAGAACAACATTATAAAAAGGTTTAAAATTATTAAAAGACCTTTTATTACTAGCTTAAATAATTTTTTTTTAAAAGGCTTCCATTATTCCTAGTGAAGACGTAATTTTCAAATGGCGCTTTGCAACAAAATGAAGTCAGTGTTAAAACAACAAAGGTTGAAAAATTAACATTTTCACAACATCATTCTTCTGTACAAGAGGAGTGCAGCTGGGTGAAAAGATTTTCCAAGTGACATTTCAGGTCTCAGTGATAATTGTTACTCATGGATAAGAGCTGGATGGATGTGGATCACTGTGATACAATCTGTAGGTACTCAGTCCTTCCATTTCCCACAGACCAGCCAAAGGAAGACTCCAACTTGGTATCCTCATTCACTGCTTGATGTAACTCTGAATGTGTGATTTGGGAAATCTGGCTCCTTCTATCATGACACTTATCCACAGTTCCTGTTCATTCCATTCTGAATTTGATTTTAATGCACTACCATAACTTCAAGAGAAGACTTAAATGTCAAGACAAAAAAAAATCAGTATGAAAAAAAAAAATCACAGGAAAAGTAATCCTCACTAATTTCTCCACTTAGATCTTCTTGAAGGAGAATGATGCCAAGGAGAGTTATCAAGCACTTCTGTTTGAAGCTGACACAGCCAAGAGTAAGTTTTCACAGTCCCTGCTGATGTCTGAAGGAGGTATTACTTAAAGTGTGTTTAACATGGCACAGTAGCTCTTAGCACAAGAACAAGAACAACAAGGCAGTAATGACAAGTTATGATTAGAGCCCTGATATGTGTAAAGGATATAACAGCAGAGATGGAAGGTGAAAAGTTGTGTTGGAGTACATGCAAAGCCAGTCTGAAATTAGGCTTGCACAGAAACTGTAGCTATTCTGCAAAGTGCAGTATTCTGATACTAAACTCTTAACCCTGCCTGCCCACACACACAACCAGCTAACTAAAATAAAGCACCACCCACTAGGTTAGAAGAGAAATTTTCTCCCTGGCCCCTACTCCACATTCAGTCACTTTGAATTGAAAAGATTCAGCTCAAACCTTTCTGGTTGCTGACATTTGCTTTTTGTAACCTGAGTGATGCTCCCTGCTCTACAATGCAGTGTCAGGGTCTCTCAATATGCTGTGATTGACTCAGGTGCCCTCCCAGGCTTTTCCTGCCACACTCTCCAATATTTGCTGCTCTGAATGCTCACTAGCTCCCTAAGCAGAGAAGCAGTTTGCCCTCATCTGCCACTAGGCCAACTCTCTCAGTCTTCTTAAAGAGATGCGTGTGTTTACGTGACTGGACTCAAAGTGCAGCAAAAACTGAATGTCCATCATACTGCTACACAGGTATCTGATGCCACCTGGTACAAAGCTCTTCTGCTGTAGCATCTCTTCTCTAGAGGCTGTCAACCCTTCAAATCAGAGAGCAGGAAATTCTGCTTGTCTCCTCCTCCAGGTAGTTGATAAACATATTGAATAATACCAGCATGGATTTCTGCTAAGTGGCCTTCTCATTTGTTTCACAGCTTATCTAAATAGATATGGTAAAGGACTTTAACAAAAGCATTTTGGAAGCCCAAACAGGACTATAACAACTTATGTTTATATATTTGTTAATGCCTTCAAAGAACCTAAATAGGTTCATAAGCAAGACCTCCCTTGAAAAAAACAGCCATGGTGACGATGCAAGCACATCATTTCTATCCATGGGACCACTGATGCTTCCATGGTTCTAATTAATGTCTTGTCTTCTTACATATTATTCAGTGAAAACCCTTGAACTAAATTCCTACTACAGCAATCTCTGCACTAGCCAATATAAAAGACTACAACCCTGATCAGGAAACAAAACAAGACCATGCCAGTACACTGAGAACTGGGTAACTCATTCAAGTTACCCAATCTGTATAACCAGTCTTTATCATTGCAGAATTTAGCAGCTTTGGCATTTACCTCATAGAACCCTGGGTAGATTCACATGACCATCAACTGGTGTCTTTGAACCTCAGTCTCTAGATTTCCAGAGAATTTGTTTGTTTATATGAAATACCAAAACAAGTAAATGCAAGACTTCTGACACCTAATATTGCCCTGCAAAGCTACTAAGCAAGGTAGTGAGCAGCCCAGCACTCTCCAGCACCTTACCTTGGGTTAGTTAGATTGTAACAGGATTTCCAAATCTGGAGCATGTGTTTACAGGTAAGGAGTGCTTCATCTGGGCCTCTGCATAGGGATTCCAATTTGACTTTTGTAAACAGCAATCTAGTGAAAAGGAAAAAGAAGTGAAAAGTGATTCCTATCCAAGAAAAAATATTTTTAAGAACAGCATCACACCAAACTGGAGAAAACTAAATTTCAAATACAGTAATAATTAAAGCTTAATGAAGTAATTGCAATAAATATCTAATGCCATCAAAGTAACAGTGCTTTTTACAAGATGCCTTTTTCAACTGGACAGAACCAATAGGTGACACGATTTTTATTTTAATTTTAAAAAAGTTATAAGACAATACTGAAATTGCCAGTACCACAGGATTCCACAGGATGTATCAAGTTGCAGGCTCTCCACCAAGATTAACCTAGATAGCTTTCCCAGTTATTTAAAGAATATATATACAATGTGACAATAAAGGAGCTAGTCCATTAGTAGGCACATTTATAGGAGGCACAGCACCTAGGAACAGATAATACTAGAAAAATACTAATTTAAAGGCAATTTTCAGCAAAATCACAGATTAAAGAGCACAGAGCATATATAGGAGGAGAGCATGCATATAAAACTGTTAGCCTACTTTCTGTTTTAAAACCCAGGTGTACTTTGGCATTTTATTCTACTGCAACCTTAATCATACTAAGTGAAAAATTTATATGATTGCTCATATGGTTTGCGTGGGAAGACTGAGAAGGGTGTAGAGGGGGGGATGTGTGAAAGCTCAGAAGTTTCTTATCCCAAATACAAACTTGGAGGCTGCTAATAGTAACTGAGAAGTGCAGAGAGTTTTCTCAAGAATAAGAAATGACATCAAGTTATAGTAGTTAAATCTTCAGCATTGCACTGAACATCATTGGCAGAAACTACCCAGCATGAAAATCCAAAAGTGAATCACACAGCCTTAGGTGTACAACATGTGCACTGTGGGACTGAGGAGGAAACCAAAGGCAATTTGCTGTGTTAGTCAAGAAAATGAGCACCTGCCAGATACATAAGGTCGTAAGAAGTCTCCCTTGATATCTTGTAAGAATGTAGAGCAGTATAATCACTCTGTAATGCAGAGCAGTCATACTAGCTTAGCTTTCTTCCTGTCAGTAAATTGGATTTGAGTATAAAGGGAATTATATGGATAATTTAAAGTTGCATTTCATTTGGCAGGAATGTCCTCTCTAGATACTCATTTAACAGTGACTGTATCACTGAAAGAAAATCATGTCCATGTCTGTCTGTCATTTTACTGAAAAGAGAAGGAAATATGACACACAACATCCTCCTTCCTGCACACTCCCCTCATCTACTCTACCCTTAACACATGCACATGCAAGCCTCATCCAAAGACCAAGACCTAGGCATCAAAACCTGAAACCAAAATCACAGGAATATGTCTCATACAACTCCTTTCCTTCTTCTCCATAAGATGGTACATTTGACAGTTTGAAGAGCCTAGAGAAGCTCAATTTCTTAAAATTTGTGATCATAAAGCATTTTACAAAAGTTATGGAACATAATCAATTCAGAAGCACTGAATTTGCAAGTCATTCTAGAGTCAATAATCATAATATATACTGTATTATGTACAGTGTACCGATAGACTGAATTTCCATTAACAGTATTCAGGCATTTAAGAATTTTAGGAATTTTGTAGCAGAGGGAAGGCACGTGGTCAGCAAAATGTTAAAATTCAACAAGCAAAATTTGAAAGGAAAAATGGAGCAGGGGATAGAAAGGGAGGGGATTTGGTTATTAAAAAACTACTTAAAAACACAAGTAGGACATTACAGGAATCAGTGCAACAAAAATGTTGGAACCTGGGCTACTTGTGTAGGATTCAACGTCAAAACAGCAGAAGACAAATATAATTGTATAAGAATAAAAGCAACACATCAGTTTGGTGTTTTTGGATGCACATGTTGCAACATCATTCCTGTTTCTTGTGCATTATGGGAGTCAACAGGAGAGGGTTTCCAAAATACAAACAACAAACTGAGTATATGATGGAAAAATATTCACAATTCTAATAAAGAAAGGCTAGGGCATTGTATCTAATAAATAAAGTACACTGGTGTAGGATAATCCACACTATAGAAAAAATAATCTAGTGAGTAGAAAAGGATGCAGTTATAAAGCCACCTAGAGCAGCTTCCCTGGACCAAATTAATATTTGGATTATAAATCTTAAAAGAACTAAGACACCTCAGAAAACTGAAACATGATGTTAATAATAAAATTAAAACCTGCCAACTATGCATACCTGACAAATGGGGGAAGGAAGGGACGAGGAAGGAGGCAGCAGAAAGAAGGAACACCATGTGACAAAGAGGTGCCCCATATTACCTTAATTTTATCAAGTTCCCTTGAAACATGGCTGGAGGTATAAGCAGCTCAGGGACAAGTATTACCAGGAAAGTTTTAGAAACCAAGGGGTAGGTTATCTGAAAAAAGATTTTCTGAAAGGTCAACTTCAAGCATCTGTGAAAACAGGTCTTCTGGAACACAGCCTGCATTACAGACACAGAGAATTTTAAACCTCACAAGAAGTTTTGATACACTACTAAAATGATGAAGAATAGAAAAAAAATACCAAGTGATAGGATGATAAAAATTAAGCTGTATATTTTATGAGCATCATTATCTGTTTGTGCCTGTTTGACAATCAGAAGTTTTAATTACTGGCACGTGGTGGAATAGCACTCCATTAAGAATAGAAGTACTGAAGAAAAAACAATATTCAAAAAAGAAATTAAGAGTAGAACAAGGTGTGTCAGAGATGTATAATAAATACAACAGATAAGAACAGAAATCTGTTTGGGTCAAATTCTTTGGGGAAGGGAAGATGGTAAAACAGGTTCTTTCAAAGACAAACTAATAGGCCATTTGTTCCAGCAACAGAGTTTTCTATGGATGCAGATCTTTAACATAGCTAAAAATAAAGTCAATTGTATTATTTTAGTAGACTAATTACCCAGACACAAAATGAAGAACAAATCAAACTCTTAAGTGGAAAGACTTAGTTATTCTTGGAGCTAATAGCTGATAAATTTATGAAATAGCTACTGAAGCAGCAAATGACTCCATTACTTGAAGACTGTTCTCACTAACTAATGAGGATATTATAAAACAGCTGCTCATAACGTAATCCACACATTACTGGATTTTTATTTAAATAAAGAATGAAAAATTCCAAACAGGTTTATAATTAGGTCTTTGAATGTCAGTGACAAATAACTTGATAGTGAAGGTTAGCAAAGACATCCAAGATACAGCAGAAGCCTGGTGTTTAACACAAGGATGCTCAGACATTTAAGGATCTGTGTCTCAAGTTGAATGGGTAAAACTCCACGTGTGACAAGCTAATCATTGAGAAGATGTGCAAGTAAGACATCAGAAATGTGCAGAGATCCTACCAAGAACAACAGGGGACAGGCAGGGGACAAAAGAGCTACACAAAAAGCTGCATCTTATGTACCTTAGTAAAAAGCAAACACTTGAATAGTAGTACACTAAAATTATAGTATTTTAAGGCTTTTTTGTATCAAAGTAGGAAAAAGAAGAAAATTTGTTTACTAAATGGGGATGAATATTCAGGAATGAACCCCAACCTTCACCATAATCTTTACCTATGTTGTCTGAGATATGAAAACTATGACAAATGGAGAATAGGAACACTTTAAGAATGACTAAAGTTAAGGCAGTCAAAAATAATCCATTTCTCAGAATTATGGAAACAATGATGCATAGGTATGTCCTTTTCAAAGCAAAACTTCAAAGAAAATATCACTTCTGGAATGAGTGGGGAAGAACATCTATATTGCCAATGATTTTGCCAGGAGGGAAGGAGCATTAAACAACCCATGTAACCATTACTCCAAACCAGAGCTGCCTATCAGCTGGGCGCATCAAGGTAAGACAGCTGTGAAGAGGCCCAGGTGCAATTCAGGGACTACTCATTGGAACAGAAGGAGAAAGACACAGTGGCATTGTACAATATCCCAGTGAGAGCACACCTGGAATGTTATATGTAATTCTCATTGGAACAGCTAAAAAACTCACACATTTGAGGAATTTCAAATTGGAGTAGCTGCACAGAAAGGCTGTAAGGGTTTACTGGAAACTACACAGTACAAAAAATACTTCATTTAGTCAGTCTAGCAGAAAAAAAAAAGCCAAGAAGAAGTACAAATCCTTTCTATAAATACAGATGAGACAAGCAGCAGGAAGGGAAAAGAACAATTTATCTAGAGGAAATTGTTTCCACGAAAACAAGTATATCTAAAAGGCCATTCAGACTACTAAAACACTAAGGGTGGGAATCAGGTCTCTTAATTTATAATTAGGTTGTAGAAAAGACTGCTTCCTCACAGTTTGTTTTGTTTTCACCAAAGAAGAGGTGGTGCAAATAACCTAAGTTCTTAAAATACAACTGGTAATTTCATGGAAAGTATTACAGATAGGACCACTATAATAATGAGGCCTTGTGCCATCTAAGGTTCTTGCTACTGCTTTATTGCCTAATCAGTGCAAATAATCTATTAGTCCATGATCTGAAGTTTTCTTTACCATCCAACCAGAACCAGTGTAATTTGTAGCAAAGAATTTATGAATCTCCAAAATAGAATTGTTGTCCTAATTCTCATCCAGCCCGTTTCACTTTTTGAAAATGCTGCAACCACCCCAATTTTCTTCCACAGCAACTCTCTTACAATGTCAGAAGATCAAGAGAAGTTAATTGGTGCAATACTGGCTTAAGCTATTGAAGGTATTTCTAATCTGTTGAATGAAACAAAAATCTGAAGTATGGAAGACTGAGCTCTGCTATGTGACAAGTAACACTACTAATGCTGAAAAATCTTGACTATTTCAGTGAACAGATACTGCTCACCTCAAGCATCATTTTAAAACCAGCTGTTTTGCTTTCTGGGATCAAGTCAGCAATTTCTACAAGTTGCTGTGCACTGTAAGAGCACAATGGCTTGGATCAGCCATAGTTGGATATCTGTATTTAATTCACTACTGCATGGATGAGACCTGCCTTACATTCTGTGATCCTTTC